TGGAGCTTTAGGTACAAAAGTTGGGGCAATACACTTTCATCCAGGGTCAATATTGTTTAATTGCCTCCATTATTCCGGACACATCCATAATATATGATATCCAATGCGATACTAACATTTGAACTTATGATCCAGTCAATCAATGTTTACGAAATATTCATATGAGATCAAGAGATTGTACTAAAGGCTCTATAATATTAAACCTGGATCAAATAGCTTTTCTTATTATTATTCTTTATATTACTGTATCATTACTTAAATGTACCTAATATTATACTGATATTATAATATTCAATTTTTCGTGGAGTTTACATTTTGATAGCTTTATAATATTGTCAAACTTAAGTTAAATGGAAATATGAGAAATGTTAAATTACGATAGTATTCAATTAGGGCATAGAGAATAGTTATACTGGTGATTTACTAATGTTTACTTGATTTATGGACTCTTTTATGATTGTTTAGATTGGTTTTAATCGCAAATCGTTTGCCACAAACTCCACACCTAATCAAGAGATCAATTAAATAGTCATATAAATTAATGGACATATTCATGATAATTATGATATAATAATTACACAAAATTCTTGTCATCGAAGTGTTGGCTTCTCATATGATATATGATGGAAGTGGGGTAAGGGGTGACATAATCACAGAACACACACTTCCTCCAAGTCTTGCCGTCTCTTTGACTGACTGTGAAGTATTGTTCAACACTTTTAATGCCCACAAACGATGGTTTTGCCACACCTTCTGCCGATCGCTCGTCAGTTGTTTCCACTTTAATATCATTTCGCTTAAGACTCTTAAGACTCGTCTTTTGGGTTTTGGTTTTGGTTTTGCTTTTGTTGAGCCCATAGTTTGTATCCCTTTTATCAACAAATGACTCTTTTTGTGGACAAATAGTATCCCTATTTCTCATCATATTTCCACTTGTCTTCCGTTTTTGAGTTTGAGATCCATTTTGACGGCAATTGTCTTGAATTGCATTCATTTCCATCAATTCGTGTTTCGTGTCATTCAATGTCTTATGTCTTCCGGAGTGTACTTTTCGGTGATTATTAAGATTCGAAGAAATGGCAAAACTTTTGTCACAACCGGCAAATTCACAGACAAATGGGAAGTATTTCATGTGATTCCTGATATGGTTTGCGATGGCATTCCTCCAGAGTGCTGAATAGCTACAGTTCCTCCACTTGCAGGCAAACACTTGACGGCCATTGGATTTTGTGATCTTAAGATATCTGTGATAACTGTCACCAACCGATCCATTCATTTCATCTTTCGGTTTGGTTTCTGATACTAAAGAGTAGTTCTTATCGAAGCTGTCGAGCAATTGCTGACAATCACTGAACGGGTCCTCAAACGGATTCATCACTTCTTGTTTGACATGATTTAAGTTCAACTGATATTCATTGTGATGGCGGTTGTGGTCATGAGTGGCGTGTTTGTCGATGGGGTGCTTGTGGTCATCGGTGGTGTCGTTATAGTAGAAGACATTGTTGTCGTGACCATCGAAGTCGTGGTTCAGTCTTAGGATAGTCTCTCCTTTGACTCTACAGATAATTGTCATGTATTTCGCCATCAATTTGTGATTTTAAACACAATTTCAATCACTTTTTGAAGCAGTTTTCAAATATGTGTTCAAAACACAAGTTTTGCGTGAATTTCAAACAAATGCCACGAAATGTGTCTCAAAATCAGTAAAACATTTCATTAAAAGCTTTTTAATGAAAGGAAAGGCTTTCGAAAAACATTTACAAAATATGAGTAAAAAATGATTAATTTCTTTACAATTGTTTGACTTTTAATATTACAGTTATGCAGTAAAGTATGTGTGGGCACAGGGAGGGCAGGTATGTCTCGTCCGCTTTTGAAAACTCTTTTAAATATGAAATGAAATGTGATTTTTAAAATAGACTTTTCGTTGAGTCAAACATTGCTTTTTGTTATATGTATTACAATTTTATGGATTATATAATATTATTATTAATACCATATGTACAGCACTGTAATCGACTGTATGTGTTTGTCGATGGGGTGCTTGTGGTCATCGGTGGTGTCGTTATAGTAGAAGACATTGTTGTCGTGACCATCGAAGTCGTGGTTCAGTCTTAGGATAGTCTCTCCTTTGACTCTACAGATAATTGTCGTGTATTTCGCCATCAATTTGTGATTTCAAACACAATTTCAATCACTTTTTGAAGCAGTTTTCAAATATGTGTTCAAAACACAAGTTTTGCGTGAATTTCAAACAAATGCCACGAAATGTGTCTCAAAATGAGTAAAACATTTCATTAAAAGCTTTTTAATGAAAGGAAAGGCTTTCGAAAAACATTTACAAAATATGAGTAAAAAATGATTAATTTCTTTACAATTGTTTGACTTTTAATATCACAGTTATGCAGTAAAGTATGTGTGGGCACAGGGAGGGCAGGTATGTCTCGTCTGCTTTTGAAAACTCTTTTAAATATGAAGTGAAATGTGATTTTTAAAATAGACTTTTCGTTGAGTCAAACATTGCTTTTTGTTATATGTATTACAATTTTATGGATTATATAATATTATTATTAATACCATATGTACAGCACTGTAATCGACTGTATTATATTATTGTAATATATCATTTATATAGCACACATACAATAATTAATTTGAATTGATATCCGTTTAGTGACACCACTTACAGTATACATGTAACTATTAATCAATTTAAATCAATTTAATATTAATATTTACACACATTTAGTCAAATCATAGAAAATTGTATCAATTCAATAGTGCATGGACACTTTTAGTTAAATTCCACTATTCATAGACCGAATATTATTATATCTGTCAATTGAAAAAGCCCAATATGTTAACAATATAAGCATGATGTTTTATTACAAACACAGAATGTTATATTGATCCGTTTACTGTTAGGTTACATAACCGTTAGGTTTTATAGATTTATTTTTACTGTTATACTGTATAGTATTTATTTATTGGTTTTTAAAAAATATACTTATCTTAAATTGAATCATTCATATATGAATTCTTGTTAATATTTTGTGTTAATATTGCTTTATTAGTTTTACTATTTGAAATTCAAATTAAGTTAATTTTTATTGCTAATTTCATTATGTAATAAATTGCTTGTGTAAATCTATTAAAATTTCTAATAAGAATGCAGCATGTTAATTAATATTTAATAAGATAATATGACTTAATAATATCGTTAGTTTTTATTGTACCGATATTTTAAATTTATTAATTTATTGTAATTATAACTTGATACTNAATTCTTGTCATCGAAGTGTTGGCTTCTCATATGATATATGATGGAAGTGGGGTAAGGGGTGACATAATCACAGAACACACACTTCCTCCAAGTCTTGCCGTCTCTTTGACTGACTGTGAAGTATTGTTCAACACTTTTAATGCCCACAAACGATGGTTTTGCCACACCTTCTGCCGATCGCTCGTCAGTTGTTTCCACTTTAATATCATTTCGCTTAAGACTCTTAAGACTCGTCTTTTGGGTTTTGGTTTTGGTTTTGCTTTTGTTGAGCCCATAGTTTGTATCCCTTTTATCAACAAATGACTCTTTTTGTGGACAAATAGTATCCCTATTTCTCATCATATTTCCACTTGTCTTCCGTTTTTGAGTTTGAGATCCATTTTGACGGCAATTGTCTTGAATTGCATTCATTTCCATCAATTCGTGTTTCGTGTCATTCAATGTCTTATGTCTTCCGGAGTGTACTTTTCGGTGATTATTAAGATTCGAAGAAATGGCAAAACTTTTGTCACAACCGGCAAATTCACAGACAAATGGGAAGTATTTCATGTGATTCCTGATATGGTTTGCGATGGCATTCCTCCAGAGTGCTGAATAGCTACAGTTCCTCCACTTGCAGGCAAACACTTGACGGCCATTGGATTTTGTGATCTTAAGATATCTGTGATAACTGTCACCAACCGATCCATTCATTTCATCTTTCGGTTTGGTTTCTGATACTAAAGAGTAGTTCTTATCGAAGCTGTCGAGCAATTGCTGACAATCACTGAACGGGTCCTCAAACGGATTCATCACTTCTTGTTTGACATGATTTAAGTTCAACTCATATTCATTGTGATGGCGGTTGTGGTCATGAGTGGCGTGTTTGTCGATGGGGTGCTTGTGGTCATCGGTGGTGTCGTTATAGTAGAAGACATTGTTGTCGTGACCATCGAAGTCGTGGTTCAGTCTTAGGATAGTCTCTCCTTTGACTCTACAGATAATTGTCGTGTATTTCGCCATCAATTTGTGATTTCAAACACAATTTCAATCACTTTTTGAAGCAGTTTTCAAATATGTGTTCAAAACACAAGTTTTGCGTGAATTTCAAACAAATGCCACGAAATGTGTCTCAAAATGAGTAAAACATTTCATTAAAAGCTTTTTAATGAAAGGAAAGGCTTTCGAAAAACATTTACAAAATATGAGTAAAAAATGATTAATTTCTTTACAATTGTTTGACTTTTAATATCACAGTTATGCAGTAAAGTATGTGTGGGCACAGGGAGGGCAGGTATGTCTCGTCTGCTTTTGAAAACTCTTTTAAATATGAAGTGAAATGTGATTTTTAAAATAGACTTTTCGTTGAGTCAAACATTGCTTTTTGTTATATGTATTACAATTTTATGGATTATATAATATTATTATTAATACCATATGTACAGCACTGTAATCGACTGTATTATATTATTGTAATATATCATTTATATAGCACACATACAATAATTAATTTGAATTGATATCCGTTTAGTGACACCACTTACAGTATACATGTAACTATTAATCAATTTAAATCAATTTAATATTAATATTTACACACATTTAGTCAAATCATAGAAAATTGTATCAATTCAATAGTGCATGGACACTTTTAGTTAAATTCCACTATTCATAGACCGAATATTATTATATCTGTCAATTGAAAAAGTCCAATATGTTAACAATATAAGCATGATGCTTTATTACAAACACAGAATGTTATATTGATCCGTTTACTGTTAGGTTACATAACCGTTAGGTTTTATAGATTTATTTTTACTGTTATACTGTATAGTATTTATTTATTGGTTTTTAAAAAATATACTTATCTTAAATTGAATCATTCATATATGAATTCTTGTTAATATTTTGTGTTAATATTGCTTTATTAGTTTTACTATTTGAAATTCAAATTAAGTTAATGTTTATTGCTAATTTCATTATGTAATAAATTGCTTGTGTAAATCTATTAAAATTTCTAATAAGAATGCAGCATGTTAATTAATATTTAATAAGATAATATGACTTAATAATATCGTTAGTTTTTATTGTACCGATATTTTAAATTTATTAATTTATTGTAATTATAACTTGATACTTCATATTTAATTGATATAATTTATTATATTGTTATTCTTAGGTAATATTTAAAACATTATTTAACATTAATATAATGAATAAGTCATTAAATATTGAAATTTATGTATGCGATGTTTAAATTTGCATTTAGATAATGAGAATATGAAACTGTTGCAAAGTTGATAAGTGTTCACTAGTGTTCAGGCACAATCTATTGTGAAGGTGACCCACTCTTGTTGAATTCATTAAAACTTAATTAAAGTATCCTTGAACATTTGTTTTTATTGAATGCATTATTTATATTAAAATCATTAAAGCATTTACATATTTATAATTACTTAATAAAAACTACGATATACAAAACGATAAATAATAACTAATACATTTAGAGCTAAATATTCAAAGAGAAAAGTTGATCATATATTATATTATATTAATAGCATATTAAGTATTTTTTAGTACTTTTATATTACAAATATCAGAACATTAATTTAAAGATTAAGTATTAGATATCTATAATTATAAAAGTGAACTTAGTTCTTAGTAACTGGAGAGTTTTACTTATTCGCAAATGTGCTTGATTAAATGGGTTCTTGAGTACAATTTGCTGTTTAGTACATTGGAGACAAAACTTGATAATTTATTAATATTGCATT